ATTTCTTCTATAGCACCACACCTCTTTTATGGTACTAATCAATAGCTCAATAAATTTGCTATTTGTACATATCCGTGTCATGTCCGTATTTTGTTTTTAAAAAATGGTGACCCGATATGAGAAAACCAGGCTATATGCTCCAAAATTGAAAATTGAGATTTATGGTTTTCTTAATTAAGCAAAGTTTTTCCTATCTTTTGGTCCTTCTTCCATGTCATTTGACACATCTAGTGCTGAGTTATGCTTATTTATGCAACAAGAAGTCTAAACAAATGAAATTGAATTGCAGCCATTTTTATCATTATATCTTGCATTATTTACATGGTACACAACAAAAAGAAAGGTCTGTAAATGACCTCTTTCAAGTTATTTTAGGGCAAACTTGGTATCAAATGAAAGGAAATTCTTTATACAATATATTTTTGGCATAATCTCAGTTTTGATAAGGTACCGCTGTCACAACTTTAAGAAGCCATATCTCCAATTGATAATTCCCGCAGATAGCCTGGTTTTCTCATATTGGGTCACGAATATTAAAAATGATTTAATCAGCCCAAATTTTATAGGGTTGAATCAACCCGCATCAGCCTTGAAAGGGTTAATTTATAAACTGCTTCGTTGAACAACATCAAAACAGGACAACTCAACTGTCAATTCAATTCAAAACAGATACAACTGTTGAACACACATACAACACAGGACAACACAGGACAACACACTCAATTGTCGATTCCATTCAAGACAGATACAATGGTTGAACACACATAAAAACAAAACTGTCAATTCCATTCCAGATGGATACAACATACATGCAAAACAGGACAACACACTCAACTGTCGATTCCATTTAACACGGGTACAACTGTTGAACACATATAAAACAGGACAACACACTCAACTGTCGATTCCATTCAAGACAGATACAGTTGTTGAAAAGACATACAAAACTGGACAACACACTCAACTGTTGATTCCATTCAAGACAGATACAATTGTTGAACACACATAAAAACAAAACTGTCATTTCCATTCCAGATGGATACAACATACATGCAAAACAGGACAACACACTCAATTGTCGATTCCATTTAACACGGATACAACTGTTAAACACATATAAAACAGGACAACACACTCAACTGTCGATTCCATTCAAGAAAGACACAATTGTTGAAAAGACATACAAAACAGGACAACACACTCAACTGTTGATTACATTCAAGACAGATACAATTGTTGAACACACAAAAACAAAACTGTCAATTCCATTCCAGATGGATACAACATACATGCAAAACAGGGCAACACACTCAACTGTCGATTCCATTTAACACAGATACAACTGTTGAACACATAAAACAGGACAACACACTCACCTGTCGATTCCATTCAAGACAGATACAATTGTTGAAAAGACAAACAAAACAGGACAACACACTCAACTGTTGATTCCATTCAAGACAGATACAACTGTTGAACACACATACAAGACAGGATAATGCACTTAACTGTCAATTCTATTCAAGACGAATACAGCTGTTGAACACACACCCAAAACAGGACAACACACTCAACTGTCCATTCCATTCATGACATACACAACTGTTGAATGAAGAGAAAAATATTATATATATTTATATTCAACACAAAAAGTAGCAATAACATGAGACAATAAATATTTTTACATCCATGTACATGTACTGGTTGTGTGTTGATTACCATTTCATATCTCAGCAGTAGTAGAAGTAATAAATAGGCTCTAACAATGTCTTTCGCAATACACACTAGACAGTTTCCTTAAACAGCTTAGGTACGTAACATGTAGCTTGTCTTTATTAGATAAACACTATCAGAATATAATAATAAATTATACATATGTCTCTTTTTCTCACTCACTGTCATGGTAAGATATATGTACTATACTGTACACAAGACACTGTCCATTCTATACAGTATAATCAATACAAATACTTCATGATACTCTAACCATCATAATGTCTCTCTCTCTTAGTCACATTCATGGTAAGTTACATGTACTATACTACAAAGAAATAAAAGAACATTAAAAATGGGAAAGTAGTAGGATTAAATTGGGAAAAAGGAAGGAAACAAGAGGGTACCTGCAAACTGGTGTGGTCCTAAAACACTGCAAGACTGTTACCCAAAAGCATAGCAATTAATCCTCGTAGCCAACTATGATAGCACAATATGAAGCCTTCATCTTTGATGCAGTGGTGTAGGATTTCTTACCACACCAGTTTGCAAATACTCTCTTGTTTCCTTACTTTTTCCCAATTTAATCCTACTATTTTCCCATTTTTAATGTTTTTCTTTTACTTGTTTCCATTCTTTCTTCTTAATGTGATAAATTACATTCCGTAATGATTGTCTGGTTAGGATAATTATATTCATACTGATCACGTGTGCATAAATTAAAATGGCATGAAACCACATACCCACGTTGTGTCTGCAGCTGGATTTTGTCTTCCATTTTGCTCCCTGTCTTAGCTTCTTTTTGCAACTACCTTTGTGGTTCTTGACCTAAGCACAAAAGAATGATGTAAAAGCCATCTTGAGTGGTTCACTGGATTAAGATTATCCGGTGCATAGAAGATGAAGGAAGATTAAAGAGTGAAGAATTTTGTAGAAATTTGCATTTGGGCCTGTTCTCCAGAAATGCTCCCACTACATTACAGTTCACTTTAAAGGTACCAGTAGAATTGCTCAGTGAAGAAGAGCTCATCTAAGCCATTTATAAGGCTGTACAATTTAAGATAAAAGAGTTATGAGTTTTCAAATCATAAAAACGGCCGCCATTATGAAAACTCAACCTCAATCCGACATATAGGTTACCGCCTGTATAATAAGCAGGGAGACACTGTCCCTTATATACAGTATAATCAATAGAAGTACCACATGATATTCTAACTATCATAATTACGTCTCTCTCTCTCACTCACAGTTACATGTACTATACTATAAACAAGACACTGTCCTTTCCGTACAGTGTAATCACTACAAGTACCCCATGATACTCAAACCATCATACATGTATGTCTCTCACTCTCACTCACAGTCATGGTTAAGTTTCATGAAATATACTATAAATAGCAAGACACCGTCCTTTCTAAACAGTATAATCAATACAAGTACCCCATGATACTCTAACTATAATGTCTCTCACTCTCACCCACTATTACGGCAAGTTATGTACTATACCATAAACAAAAAGACACTGTCCTTTCTATTCAGATTAATCAATAAAAGTACCCCATGCTACTCTCTCTCTGTCAAGTGTCTCTCCCTTGTCACTGTATGTAGACACACTGTAACTACACACAGCACTATTTACTGCTGGTCATCACATTCCTTTATGTTTACAGTACAACCCTTGTCTGACATTCTTGAATGTTTATACTGTACTATTACTGCTTTGTTTCATTATAGGCCCTTTCCCTAGAATAGAGAAGATAATACCTTAATTGTTCCACACATTATTGTTTTTTGTAATTTTTATTTTTAGTCAAGACTCTCCAGGCTTACTACTTACTATCAAAGTTATACAGGGTATCTGGAGCTTCTACTGAGAGGCTAATACAGGCTTCTCACAGCAAATACAGGGTTGCTCTAGCCCTGTGAATCAGTACCATGTTGCTCGAGCTACTAGGGGTATGTAAAGCTATGACAGGATCTCTACAGTTAACACAGGATCT